GGTAAAATAAAAGTAAAACTAATTCGGCTGTCTATTATATTCAAATTCTAAATAAAACATGAGTGGATGAAAAAATTTTCAATAACAGTGGAAAAATTTCACACATAAATTAGTATTACTTCATGCTTAGAAGCGAGTTCCCATATGATAAAATAGATAACAAATGATTTAGCGCCTTGATTTTGCCTGCAATATAATTATTTTCAAAAATTTTGTTTAAAGCCTTATATGTGAATAACAAAGCCAGAAAAAGGCAGAAAATAAACACAAAACGAAAAAATTAAAAAAAACTATTTACCCATCTTATATGTCATTTTAGATGAATTCCAAAAACATAGTTATCTCTCAATTTTAGTTCCGCAGAATTTAATAAATTTATATCCTAATTCAATTCTTTTTGAAGATATGAAGACCAGGATGTTGTGGCCTCTGTTTCATCTTTAATTCCTACCTGCAACTAATTACAAAAGCTGTTATAAGTAATACAGATTAATGCATCATTAATCCAAATCATGACACTTTTGAGTGGCAAAAAATGGTGTTAATCACGACCCGCTTTATGATGGCCAGAGGCGAATTGGAATTCATATAAATCCTACTATTAAAATTAAGGGAAATTTAGCTATTAAACAATTTTTTTCGTGTGAAAAAATAATGGATTTTTAGACAGAACCAAGGTATCAGAAGCAGGCCAAGTCAAATTAAAGACTTGAGCAAAGCTTTGATTATAACGTTGGACGTTTGCTAATACTGGAAGGCATAAATAAAGTAACCAGGTGATTTAAGCAATTTACCTTGGTCCATATTGCATGTGGCCCAGTTTCAATGACAATGGGTGCCATAGAAACGGTGTCTGCAACTATCATGGGACTGACCTCGTCTCCGTCTGCATTGTCTGGAGCAAAAACGCCCATTCCTTGATCAATACTCATCTGCCATGCGGCACTCATTTCCGAAAAAAACTTAAAAGAAAAAAGGTCGAATTACATGTTGGACACTCGTTAATTAGCATAGACGAGCCATTAAAACGTTCTAGACTAGCAAGGAGTAATAACTCCAAGCTTTCAACGAGTCCAAAATATGAGTAAAAAGCAAAATCTAGTAAAATCTATGCAAAAATTGGTTGCGAAATAATTAAGCATAAATGCCAGCAGGAAGAATGAGAAAAAAGGTAAAACAGTAGTGATTCAGAGGTTGTTTGACCTTGTTTTCGCAACTTGGTCATATTGGTAGGAAGACTTAAAGGGACGCACCTAGTTCGGAGTCCATTTTATGCATAATACTTTCCAAAGTTGGACCCTGGACGTGTTAGATTCCCAAACGTTTAGCCGGAATCATAGTCAGCATCATCAATGAGGCTCGCCATTCTTAACACCATACAACAATTCATCAGACAAATAATCCTATCCTTTGACCAAACGTGTGATAAACAATTGTGGTATTGGAGCGAGAAGAGGACATCATGGAGGCAGAACGGATACGGAAAGAATCGTTAACACGACTGATCAACATGACAGTAAGGACCACATATATTACATTTAACGGCAGTATCTATGACCAAATAGTTGGACTACCGATGGGATCTCCATTCACACCTCTTTTGGCAAATGTGTATATGGACAAGTTGGGCAAGTTCAACATTGAACCTAATCAAAGCAAGTAGTACCACAACATTTGTGGGTTGGCACACAAGAGACTAGG